CTACAGGAACAATCAAATAAGATAGATACAGCATTGGAAACAATTCAAAATCTACAGAAAGAGGTCCAAACAATCAATAACAAAATAACAGAAATAGAGAGCACTCTGAAAGGGCAGAGGAGTAGAATAGATAAGGTGGAAGGCAGAATCAGTGATCTGGAAGATAAATTTCTCAATACCACTAAGGTAGAAGAATAAACACAATAAAGGAGAAAGAATTCTGAGGAAGATCTAAGACTCATGTTGGACAACATGAAGAGGAATAACTTAAGAATTATCAGCATCCCAGAACAAGAAGAATCACGCAAGTCCACAGAGGAAATAGTCGAAGAACTGCTGGAAGAAAATTTCTCTAACATCCTGAAAAGCGAAAAGATAAATATTCAAGAAGCTCAATGAACTCCAGGAAGGGTAGACCCCAAAAGAAAATCACCAAGACACACCATATTCAAGCTCTCCAAACACAGAGATAAGAAGACACTTCTGAAAGTATCCAGAGAAAACAGAAGGGTCACATACAAAGGCAAGCAAGTCAGATTAAGTTCAGATTTCTCAGCAGGAACCATGCAAGCAAGAATGCAATGGGAAGACATATATAAAACCCTGAAAGAAAAAAAAAAAAAAAACTGCCAAGCAAGAATCCTTTATCCAGCAAAGTTATCAACCAAATATAATGGTGTAATCAAAACATTCCAGGATAAACAGAAGCTAAGGGATTTTACCAAAGCCATCTCTGCGCTACAAAACATCCAAAAGGGAGTTCTGTGGACTGAGAACCAACAAGAACAGACAGCAACCAGAGATTGACACACGTGGCAGCACTTCCCTGAATTCAGTCAACAGAAAGAAGAGTTGTTAACAAAACAAAACCATAAGAACAAACTCAAAGAATTTGGGAGGTCAGTGTATGATCAAAACAAGTACAATGTAAAACAAGATAAACATGTAGGAACAGAGATCCAGATAGTGAGAAGGTCAGGTCGATTACAGGATAAAATAGACTGCACTAAATGGACAGAAAAGTTAATGGACTATGAGGCAACCTCAAAGAAAATTAACACTTCAAAACATACCAAAAGAATGAAAATCCAAGAAGAATATGAAAACATTAAAACTATGAGCAAACTCACAAGAAAGAACAGAAAAATCATGAACTCAACAAAAGAAGACAAATAGAACAAAGAAGCAGCAACACCACACACACACACACAAACACACACACACAAAAAAAACATATAATGGCAGCAATTAATCAATACCTATCAATAATTATACTGAATGTAAATGCATTAAATGCACCTGTTAAGAGACAGAGGGTGGCAGAATGGATAAAAAACAAGATCCTTCAATATGCTGTCTGCAAGAGACACATCTCACACACAGAAACAAAAACAGATTAAAAGTCAAAGGATGGAAAAAAATATACCAAGCTAACTGCAATAAAGCGAACAGGAGTGGCAGTACTAATCTCTTATAAAATAGACTTTAAGGCAAAAACCAGCATAATAGTTAAAGATGGACATTATCGCATGATTAAAGGGACAATAGAACAATTTGAAATAACCATAATAAATATCTATGCTCCCAATGAAAGAGCTCCAAAATATATAAAGCAAACTCTAATAGGTTTGAAAAAAGAAATAGATGAATGTATAATAATTGTGGGTGATTTTAATACACCACTTTCAAAAATGGATAGAACAACCAGAAAGAAACTTGACAAAGACACAGAAGAACTAAACAA